TGTGGCCCATGTTACCGTTACTATAGCAGAAATTGCTGCTATCTGTGGCACCCTAGGACAGAAAAGAAGAAACTTATATTTTGATCTTCATGGAGCAGCTCATTGATCCTGAATCTCTTCTGGTGTAAAGGACAGAAATGGATGGAATTTTTCTGCAGGTCTTGGTCCTTCTGCCTGTGGGTGTGGTGGAAGGAGGTACATGGGTGGTGCTGACACCTTTAAAGGCATATTCTCAAGATGCAGGTGTAATTGGTGCAGAAAATGTCATCTGAGCAGGAATTCCAGAGAAGGAGGAAAAATTTTTTTTTTTTTTTTTTTTTAGCTAAACGTGTCTCATCAAGAGCTGTGTCCAGTCTGCCTTCTGAAATGCCATGCATTTTTACATGCAAACCTTTACTTCTCTACTTGTGTTTTTCCTCACTAATGAGTTTAGCTACTTAAAAAATTCTTATAATAGTCAGGGGTCTCTGAAAAATGTTTTTTCCCATATACCAGAGCCTTCTACATCATGGCTTCTTATATGCCATGCAGAATTCTCTTTATGCATTTGTAATCTGCTGTATTAAAAATGTTCCGTTTGTGGCTGGGAAGGTGTGAATACTCAAGATTCCTATTGGAAGAAGAATGGGGTTCTTAGTAAAAATGGTAAACTTGTAATGTTGAGGTTCCATCTGTGTTCTTCATTAACTCTATGCAGAACAGGATTAAGAAAATGTTTATTTAAAGAGCATGGCATTTATTACCCAGAAAGTCCTGAAAAAAAAATTGGAAAATACCTGCTCTCTAGAGTGTTACAGAAAGACTACTTAAAATCACTATTAAAAATGACAGAACATGGGAGATATCTGTGTCTTGAACTTTGCGTAAAACACATGGTTCTTTATGGTTAAATTCGGACTACAATTTACTTTTGGGGAAAATGTCACAGTGGTGATGCTATGTTCTTTTGTGCATCAGCACATCACAAAAATTTGTCCTAGTGCAGTTAATATTAGTGATTCACTTGGTTTAGGAGCTCTGTGACAGATTTTTTTTTTTTTTTTTTTACTAGAAAGTTAATTATTTTTCTTTTCATTATAAATTATTTTTATGCAGCTGATGTGCATAAACCATCACATTTTATCTGGTAGCTGCCCCTCTTTCTTAGGTTTTCTTTGCATATATGTCTTTAGTAAGTGAAAGCTCTCATCATCTTTTACAGTCCAGGAATACTAGGAAAAATACAGGGTCTTTTACTTACTGGATGTTTGACAAAATATTCTTGAGCCAAAAACATTGGCATTACTGGTGAACTTGTTAGAAATTCAGAAGCTAAAAAAATAAAAAAGAAATTCAGAAACTCAGACTTTATTCTAGATCTTCTGAAAAAATCTGCATTAACAATATATCCGGTTTATTCTACACATTAAAATTTGAGAGGTACCTGCTAACTCAACATGTCTTTTTGATCTGAAAAATATACACAACTCATTCTGTGTGATGTAAATATAGCACTCAAAAATGTACGTTTGTGTTTATGCCCTTAATTTTATACTTTATTCAGAAAAATAGCATATATATACTGATGTTGTGGCTCCTATGCCACTCTCTTTCATCAGAGTTAGAGAATACATTAGAGATGTCCTTTCTATTTGTTAGTTTTCCTTCTAACAGTCAGGACCCTCCGCTGCGGTCTGTTGGAGTTTGCTGGAGGTCCACTCCAGACCGTGTTTGCCTGGGTATCACCAGCAGAGGCTGCAGAACAGCAAATATTGTAGAATGGTAAATGTTGCTGCCTGATCCTTCCTCTGGAATCTTCATCTCAGAGGGGCACCCAGCTGCATGAGGTGTCAGTCAGCCCCTACTGGGAGGTTGTGTCCGGAATTGGTGGGTTCTTGGTCTCACTGACTTCAAGAATGTCGCCGCGGACCCTCGCGGTGAGTGTTATACAGTTCTTAAAGATGGTGTGTCCGGAGTTTGTTCCTTCAGACATTCAGATGTGGCTGGAGCTTCTTCCTTCTGGTGGGTTCATGGTCTCACTGTCAGGAGTGAAGCTGCAGACCTTTGTGGTGAGTGTTACAGCTCTTAAAGGCAGCACGTCAGGAGTTGTTTGTTCTTCCCGGTGGGTTCATGGTCTTGTTGGTTTCAGGAGTGAAGCTGCAGACCTTCGCGGTGTTACAGCTCATAAAGGCAGCGTGGACCCAAAGAATGAGCAGCAGCAAGATTTATTGCAAAGAGCGAAAGAACAAAGCTTCCACAGTGTGGAAGGGACCCCAGCGGGTTGCCACTGCTGGCGCAGGCAGCCTGCTTTTATTCCCTTACCTGACCCCACCCACATCCTGCTGATTGGTCCATTTTATAGAGAGCTGATTGGTCCATTTTACAGAGAGCTGACTGGTGCGTTTACAATCCTTGAGCTAGACACAGAGGCTAGACAAGAAAGTTCTCCAAGTTCCCACTAGGTTAGCTAGACACAGAGTTAGCTAGATACAGAGTACCAATTGGTGTATTTACAAAGCTTGATTTAGACATAGAGTACTGATTGGTGTATTTACAAACCCTGAGCTACAGCATATTTACCATCCTCTAGCTAGACATAAAAGTTCTCGAAGTCCCCACCGGATTAGCTAGATACAGAGTGCTGATTGGTGCACATACAATCCTCCAGCTAGATATAAAAGTTCTCCAAGTCCCCTGGCTTCACTTAGTGGATCCTGCACTGGGGCTGCAGGTGGAGCTGCCCGCCAGTCCCGAGCTGTGCCTGCACTCAGCCCTTGGGCTCTGGATGGGACCGGGCACCATGGAGCAGGGGGCAGTGCCCATCCAGGAGGCTCTGAGCTGGAGCCCACTGCAGGCAGGGGAGCTCAGACATGGTGGGCTGCAGGTCCTGAGCCCTGCCTAGTGGGGAGGCAGCTAAGAATTTAAGTGCAGCACCGGCAGGCTGGGAGACCAGCACTGCTGGGGGACCCTGCGCAACCTCCGCAGCTGCTGGCCCTGGTGCTAAGCCCCTCACTGTCCTGGGCGGGTGGCCCTGCCTGGCTGCTCCATGTGCGGGCCGCTGAGCCAGAGTCCCTGCCCCTGTCCACCCCTGCAGGAACTTGCACTGGCCCAAGAGCGTGGCCCACAGCCCTGGTTCCTGCCTGCACCTCTCCTTCCACACCTGCCCGCAAGCAGAGGGAGGCAGCTTCCACCTCAGCCAGCCCAGAGAGGGGCTCCCATAGTGCCCTGGCGGGCTGAAGGACTCCTCAAGCACCACCAGAGTGGATGCCGAGGCCGAGGAGGCGCTGAGAATGAGGGCTGCTAGCACATTGTCACCTCTCAAAGTGTGACAATTAGGCTACTCAGGGGTCAGGGGAGGCAATCTATTCATTCTCAGATCTCAAACTCCATGCTTGGAGAACCACTACTCTCTTCAAAGCTGTCAGACAGGGATGTTTAAGTCTGAAGAAGTTTCTGCTACCTTTTGTTCAGCTATGCCCTCTCCCCAGAGGTGGAGTCTATAGAGGCAGGCAGGCCTCCTTGAGCTGTGGTGGGATCCACCAAGTTCGAGCTTCCTGGCTGCTTTGTTTACCCACTCAAGCCTCAGCAATGGTGGACGCCCCTCCCCCAGCCTCACTGCTGCCTTGCAGTTGGATCTCAGACTGCTGTGCTAGCAGTGAGTGAGGCTCTGTGGGCATGGGACCCTCTGAGCCAGGCGTGGGATATAATCTCCCTTTGCTAAGACTGTTGGAAAAGCGCAGTATTAGGGTGGGAATGTCCCAATTTTCCAGGTACTGTCTGTCACAGCTTCCCATGGCTAGGAAAGGGAATTCCCCCACTCCTTGCATTTCCTGGGTGAGACAATACCCCATCCTGCTTTAGCTCACACTCCGTGTACTGCACCCACTGTCTGACAAGCCCCAGTGAGATGAACCCAGTTCCTCAGTTGGAAATGCAGAAATCACCCATCTTCTATGTCGCTCATGCTGGGAGCTGTAGACTGGAGCTGTTCCTATTCAGCCATCTTGGAACCTCTATCAGGTAGTTATAAGTAAGGAAACAATAGGTGCTGGAGAAGATGTGGAGAAATAGGAACACATTTATACTGTTGTTAGGACTGTAAACTAGTTCAACCATTGTGGAAGACAGTGAGGCGATTCCTCAAGGATCTAGAACTAGAAATACATTTGACCCAGCCATCCTATTACTGGGAATATGCCCAAAGGATTATAAATCATGCTGCTGCTGTAAAGACACATGCATACGTATGTTTACTGTGGCACTATTCACAATAGCACAGACTTGGAACCAACTCAGATGTCCATCAATGATAGACTGAATTAAGAAAATGTGGCACATATGCACCATAGAATATTATGCAGCCATAAAAAAAGGATGAGTTCATGTCCTTTACAGGGACATGGATGAAACTGGAAACAGTCATTCTGAGCACACTATCGCAAGGACAGAAAACCAAACACCACATGTTCTCACTCGTAGGTGGGAATTGAACAATGAGGACACTCGGACACGGGGTGGGGAACGTCACACAAAGGGGCCTGTAGTGGCGTTGAGGGAGAGAGGAGGGATAGCATTAGGAGATATACCTAATGTGAATGGCACATGTATACATATGTAACAAACCTGCACGTTGTGCACATGCACCCTAGAACTTAAAGTATAATAAAAATAGAAAAGTAAAAAGAATATATTAGAGAATATTTCTATGTTGAAAATTATTTTATTAGATAATTTCAGTCACTTCTATAAGTCAGAACCAGTTCTCTACTCTCTCATTTGACCCTGAGTCACATTAAAAAGTCTGCCTGTGGCCATTTGGTAAATGTGTGTGGGGGTGTGTCTTTAGAGTCAGAGAATAGGGAATATTTCTGTGTTAAAAATTATTTTCTTGGATAATTTCAGTCACTCCTATAAGTCAGAACCTGTTCTCTCTACTCTGTAATTATACCTTGAGTGAAATTTAAAATTCTGTCCATGACCACTTGGTAAATACATGTGTATCTTGTTTGTGTGTTTTTCAGGGACCACTGACATTTAGGGATGTGACTGTAGAATTCTCTCTGGAGGAGTGGCAATGCCTGGACACTGCACAGCAGAATTTATATAGGGATGTGATGTTAGAGAACTACAGAAACCTGGTCTTCCTGGGTGAGAATAACTTCAATACTCAATTCCTAATGTACCCCAAATACTTCATTTTTGGTTTTTTTGTAGAATTATTTGGTAATTTGGTCATTTTTTATAATTATGCTTTGCATAAATGAGTTTCAAACCCCTGTTTTCAAGAAAATCATAAGGATTTGTCAGTGTAGGAAAAAGAAATTTCAAGATGTTTCATCTTGAGCTGAACTTTCCACATTGCTGAGCTGATCTGTATCCCTCATTCTAGATTAGTGGTAATTCCAGAAATTTAGTGGTGTAAAATACTATCGCCCACACCTTAAAATCTAATTGCTAGCACCAATTTTTTAATTCAGTACTACTGGGTAGTGAATTAAGAACCTACAAATATACAGTGTTTTCTAAATATATATTTTTTAATTTTTATAAATTAGTATTTTGGGATAAATGTATTAGAATATTGTATTACATCCTCTTTTTTTTTTTTTTTTTTGAGACGGAGTCTCGCTCTGTCACCCAGGCTGGAGTGCAGTGGCCGGATCTCAGCTCACTGCAAGCTCCGCCTCCCGGGTTCACGCCATTCTCCTGCCTCAGCCTCCCGAGTAGCTGGGACTACAGGCGCCCGCCACCTCGCCCGGCTAGTTTTTTTTGTATTTTTTAGTAGAGACGGGGTTTCACCGTGTTAGCCAGGATGGTCTCGATCTCCTGACCTCGTGATCCGCCCGTCTCGGCCTCCCAAAGTGCTGGGATTACAGGCTTGAGCCACCGCGCCCGGCCACATCCTCTTTACTGAGCACATTACTAAGTTGGTAATTGGAGAATATGAGCAAGATGCATGTTACTTATTTTTAATAAAACAGGTATTGCTGTCTCTAAGCCAGACCTAGTCACCTGTCTGGAGCAAGGAAAAGAGCCCTGGAATATGAAGAGACATGAGATGGTAGCCAAAACCCCAGGTAGGTGAGAGTGAAAGCCAATACAACAGATGACACAGATGAGAGATCCAAAGGTCAAGGAGAAAGAAAGCAAGTCCTTAAAATGTCATTTGGGAAGCTGTGTTCCAAAGGGTATAGTTTCTGGAAGTCTGAGGCTTTTTTTTTTTTTTTCTTTGTTCTCACATAGGGGCATTTTCTGTCTTACGCTTTTAAATTCTCTAAAGATTCTACTTTCAGTCATTTTTCTTCAAGTTTACAGTGAGAGCCAAAGTCCTCATAGCATATAAGAGACTGTACAATCTGACTCCTTTTTCATTGTTTTTAGGGACACACAAATATCTGCATAATTTTTAAAAACTCTGTGTTAAGCTATTTTTTAAGTTCTCTTTTTGCATCATGTCTGAAATGAATGGGGTAGTGGTTTCTTTTCCATTGAATTTTTAATTTTTCTGCACATTCCATCTTTTTAGTATATTGAGAGAGAGTTTGGAATGATAAAATATGATGTCGTTCTGCTTTATTATTTTTTTTTTTCCTTCAGATTGCTTTGGCTATTCAAAGTTTATTGTAGTTTCATGTAAAATTTAGTCTTGTATTTTCCATTACTGTGAAAAAAACTTGCCACTGGAATTTTTATAGGGAGCTTATTGAATCTGTATTTATTGAATCTATATTCTTTCAAGTCAGAGTCATAAAACATTTTTAAATTTATTTGTGTCTTCTCTTATTTCTTTTCCTAGCTATCTTATATCTTTCAGTGTCAAGAATTTTTATTTCCTTGGTCTTTGTTCTCAGAGATAAATTTATTTATTTATGTTTTTGAGATGTAGTTTCACTCTTCTTGCACAGAATAGAGTGCAATGGCGTGGTCGCAGCTCACTGCTAACTCCACCTCCTGGGTTCTAGCAATTCTCCTGCCTCAGCCTTTCAAGCAGCTGGGATTACAGGCACCTGCCACCATGCCCAGCTAATTTTTGTATTTTTAGTAAAGATGAGGTTTCACCATGTTGGTCAGGCTAGTCTTGAACTCCTGACCTCAGATGATCCACCCTCCTTGGCCTCCCAAACAGCTGGGATTACAGGTGTGAGCCACCGTGCCCAGCCAGAAATTTATTATTTTAATGCTATTGTAAATAAGATTTTTTTTTGTCTATTTTATCAGATAGTTTGTCTTAAGTGTATGGGACCATAACTTGTATGTTAATTTTATATTTTGTGAATTTACTGAGTTTATTAACTTAGGTTTTAATGCACTGCTTATGGTTTTCTATATATAAGATCATGTAATCTACAAACAGCAAATTTTTACTTATTTGTCTTCAGTTTCAATGACTTTTTGAAAATTGTTTTGACTAATTATTCTGCCACATACTTCAGTGCTATGTTAAAATGGAAGCATTGACAAGCTGCACAATATAATTTTGCATTTGGTGTCTGTGAATTTGAAGAAGCAAACACCTCTTGAAGTTGCTATAAACTGGTTTCAGGAGGTAAAGATCTTCCATTGGGCCCCCAGGGTGATGGGATTCCCACTGGGTTTGTGATGGAGAGGGGTTGTAGCTTGGTCACAAGATTGCTGGGTCTGCACTAGCATCCACCTTTAGTCGGCTTGTTACAAGGGGCTCAGGTAGTTGTAATTCCCAATTATTTTTGGACAGACTGGATATCCTTCAAAATTTTGCTCTGTAGGGCAGACACTAGGGCAGGTTTTTGTAGTTGGGTCTGTATATAATGTACCTTAAATCGGGATGTAAATGAGTATGGCTTTTGCTGAGTACCACAGAGGATTTCCTCGGGTCACTGTGTTGCTTTGTAGGTAAAGAGAACTGGCCATAAACTGTGGCCCAGGAAGCTGGAACTGAAACTTTGAACTGCTAAAGGCACCACATTAAAAGCCAAGGTCTGCAGGCCTGGGGCCCCCATGGCTATAAACGGGTGTCTTCCTCCAGGCCTGTGAAAGTAAAGAATCTCTCCCAGACTGTGGCTGAAAGGATTTTGAAGTAATTAGAGTAAATTCGAATTCTCAGTGGGACCAAGGTGGGTTGGCCATTTCCTGTACTGTAGCCAAGACCAGGGATCCTGTAGTTTGCCACTGGAATGACAGCCTACCTTCTGAAGAGAACACTCTTCAATCTTTGGCTTAGCAGAATTTCACAACTTCATCCCTGGACCTTAAAGATCTCTTAAAGGCACTTATTTTGGAGATAGGGTCTTGCTACATAACCCAGACTGGTTTTGAAATCCTACCCTGAAGCAATTCTCCAACCTTAACATACCATGTAGCTGTTATTACAGGTTCAAGCCATGAGGACTGGTTCTCTCATAAAGGTATTTTTGTCAGGGATGGCCAACAAATTTTCTTGCTGTGGTGGAATAGACAAATAGTACACCTTTTATTTTTCCATCTTACTAATGTCACCCTTTCTACAAGTTTTTAATTTCTATTTTCTGTTTCAAATTTGCCTGTAATTTTAGATTCAGACATTAGGAACAATAAAGTAGAATTTACATGTTATGTTTGAAGTAAATTAGATAATTAGTAGGCACTCCATATTTACTAATATAGTTACTTATAAATTTAAGTTTGCTGCAGGCAAACAGGAATTATAAGCTTTTCACCCACTTTCTCTAGCCTATATCTAAATAATAACAATTTATGTCTAAATATTTGTTTTATATAACAGAGACTCTAACTATAATCTGCTATATATATTATATGTATATAAAATATATAATATATATTAAATTACGTACATATAATTTAGCAATGTAAGGCTATTCCTTGCTTCTAAACTTGGATTACAGCAGTTTCATTTTGTGAAAGAATAACGTACAATTAAAACATAAACATGGGCCGGGCGCGGTGGCTCAAGCCTGTAATCCCAGCACTTTGGGAGGCCGAGACGGGCGGATCACGAGGTCGGGAGATCGAGACCATCCTGGCTAACACGGTGAAACCCCGTCTCTACTAAAAAAATACAAAAAACTAGCCGGGCGAGGTGGCGGGCGCCTGTAGTCCCAGCTACTCGGGAGGCTGAGGCAGGAGAATGGCGTGAACCCGGGAGGCGGAGCTTGCAGTGAGCTGAGATCCGGCCACTGCACTCCAGCCTGGGCGACAGAGCGAGACTCCGTCTCAAAAAAAAAAAAAACATAAACATGATCTCTAGTTTATTTTAAATGCTTATTTATTAAATGTTTGTCATTAGAATCTTCTATTTATGATTATGATTATACTGCATTTTCTCTAAAATTTTACTGCCACATAGTGCCTGTCAGTGATTCAAAATACCTGCCTTCAGTAAGTACACAGTTACTGTCAAATATTGTAGCTATCTAGACAATTTTTTTTTAATGGTACATCAATGTTGCATACCAGATTATATGAGTAAACTTTTTTTTTTTTTTTTTTTTTTTTTTTTGAGACGGAGTCTCGCTCTGCCGCCCAGGCTGGAGTGCAGTGGCCGGATCTCAGCTCGCTGCAGGCTCCGCCTCCCGGGTTCACGCAATTCTCCTGCCTCAGCCTCCCCAGTAGCTGGGACTACAGGCGCCCGCCACCTCACCCGGCTAGTTTTTTTTTTTTTGTATTTTTTAGTAGAGACGGGGTTTTCACCCACTTTCACCCACTTTCTCTAGCACCCACTTTCCCACTTCTCACCGTGTCAGCCAGGATGGTCTCGATCTCCTGACCTCGTGATCCGCCCGCCTCGGCCTCCCAAAGTGCTGGGATTACAGGCGTGAGCCACCGCGCCTGGCCATGAGTAAACATTTTATTATTGTTTTGCAGTTCCATGTTTGTGTTTTTTTCAGTGTAGGTTTCTTAACATCAGTTCATTGTGAGTTTTTTGTTTTACTTACGTACTATAATTTTAGACAATTTGCAATTCTGTTTGTAAACTTTAAGTCAATATAAGAGATAAACCATCCAGGCTGAGCGCAGTGGCTCACAGCTTTAATCTTAGCACTTTGGGAGGCCGAGGCGGGTGGATTACCTGAGGTCAGGAGTTTGAGACCAGCCTGACCAATTTGGTGAAACCCCGTCTCTACTAAAAATACAAAAAATTAGCCGGGCATGGTGGCGTGCACCTGTATCTGTAATCCCAGCTACTCGGGAGGGTGAGGCAGGAGAATTGCTTGAACCCAGTAGGCAGAGGTTTCAGTGAGCCAAGATCGTGCCATTGCACTCTGGCTTGGGTGACAGAGCAAGACTCCTCAAGGAAAAAAAAAAGATAAACCATTCATCCATTCATATGTCTGTCATGATCAGATTATATAGGTGTGTGTTTTTATCTATACCCCAATTTTGGTTATCGCTTATGTATATATTTTTTAGCTGATTTTTAGTGGTTTTGTCTAAGTGAGTAGTCATGGAAATAGTCTTATTTTCACCATGTGTTTAGTGAATATATATTTTTTTGTGTTAAAAACTTTTGTGATTTGAAGGTATTCTTTTTTTAATATTCTTTTTCGTCATTTTTTTGAAGTTAATTTTTGAAAGGATTTATAATTCTGTATTTTTTTTAGTTTTTCTCCTAAAACATTTATTGTTGAAAAAACAGATAACATAAAATTTACCGTCTTTTTTTGAGATGGAATCTTGCTCTGCTACCTAGACTGGACTGCAGTGGCATAATGTCGGCTCATTGTAACCTTTGCCTCCCTGCAATCTTCGCCTCCCGCATTCAAGCAATTCTCCTGCCTCAGCCTCCTGAGTAGCTGGGATTATAGCCATAGGCAACCACACCCAGATAATTTTTGTATTTTTAGAAGAGATGCGGTTTCACCATGTTGGCCAGGCTGATCTTGAACTCCTGGCCTCAAGTGATCTGCCTGCCCCGGCCTCCCAATGTGCTGGGATTATAGGTGTGAGTCACCCCACCTGGCCTAAAATTTACCATCTTTAGTCTATTTATGTGTACATTTCAGTCCTAGGAAGGTGGTGGCTCACATCAATAATAGCAGGATTTTGGGAGGCCAAGTCAGAAGGATTACTTGAGCCCAAAATATTGAGACCAGCCTGGGCA